ATCGGAAAAATATTTATTTCTAATTTATTTATTTATTTTTTCACAAGAAAAATAGGGTGTTTATTTTTTTTTCAATTACAACCCGTTATCTTTTTCAATAAAACTCAAACTCACCGACCTCGTAAGAAGAACTTGGGCTAAAAAAAACACAACAATCCACACACCGCGGCGGCATTCTATATCTCACTATTGTTAAACATTTGTTATGTGATTATAATATATAAACAATGGGGAGAGAATCATCTTTCATTTTTTTATACGTTTTAAGTATTTACAAATAATATTTAGAAATAAATTACACTAAATCTAAAAATCGATTTATTTTCCGATATATCTCCGATTAATCACCGCTGCGCCGATTTACGTATGACAGTCCCTAACAGCCCCGATAACCGATATTTGGAACCTTGCTTACCAGAAAAGGCTTTTGGCCAAATTATATATCTTTTAGTGTTTTTAATTACGTCATTGAATGATTAAAATAAATAAATAAAGATTTTTGCATAAATAAGTAATGAACTGCTATACCAATTATACCCTTCAAATTTCATGAAAAAAGTGAAAAGAAAAGAAGAGAGAGAAAAGCACTTTTAGAGTTGAGAAGTGTAAAAACTGATGCAGAGTGGGATTCCCTGACCCTGGAAACATGTGAAATCCCATCAGCTTATAACTTTTCTTTTTTCCTTTTTTTTTTTTCTGTGTGTGGACAAAAACTCCACTGTGATTTCTCTGAGACACCCTCGAAAATTGAGTCCTTTATTTAGGGACCCTCCCTCCATTCCAAAATCTTGCTCCTTACTTTTATTTTGAATTCATAAATAAAATCGATTTAACATGTTTATTGAGAATTTTGAATTAAGATTTAAGATGGGATTTTTTTAGTTTTACTATTTTGGAAAAGCCTAAATTTTGAACATTTATAAGCTGTTTATTCTTTTCTTTTTTTTTTTTAGTTATGGAAGTGAGAAGAGAATTAAGATTTAACATGCTGAGTGCTCACAGTCAACGGTTGGTGATTTCAAAATAGGTCGAGACCTCCCGTAAGTTTTTTAAATCAGGAGTTTTAGTTCACCATGTTTTAAAATCAGAATTTTGGTTTTTTTAGTTCACTATGTTTTAAAATCAGAATTTTGGTTTTGTAAGTTATAAAAATTGGGAACTTTGGTAATGTGACTTGCTATAGTAGGTACTGCAATGATTTTTGAATGAGTTGAGATTTAATTTATAAAAATAAATAGATTAAAAATAAATTAGGTGATGTGGTTAATGAGATTAAAATTTAATTATTTTATACGACGTACCACATTAAATATTTTATGGTCCGAGAAGTACAACCCTCTCGGACCCTAGACAACCCTGAATTGGATAGTTTTAGAGAGAAGTTTGATCATCAATGTCAAAGACACCAAAATAATGAGAAATATTTATATATTTATTTTTTGTTATATTTTTGCAATAAAGAATCTCAAATCGATTAAAATATATTATTATATTTTTATGAAGGAAATAAGCATAACTAATGTTTAATCAATATTTCTTAGTTTTTATTTGTTAAAAATAGTAATTAAATTCATATTTATTTAAATATTTCATTTTTAAAAATCTATATTTAGTGATCACAATGAAATTGAACCAACAATAGAATTCAACAAAAATACAAGAAAAAACCTTATATTAAAACTTGTTGTAAAGTTACATGATATGTACTGTCATAATTAGTATAAAAAACCAAAAACACATTTACGAATTAACAAAAAAAAAAATATTCAAAATTCTAATTACCAAAAAAGCATTCTAGAGCCTCTAAACATAAAATATCTTATCAAACTAAGAGTAACAAATAGACACAACGAATAATAAAATATAGTTAATCACTGTTTTTATCATTGAAAACTATGAAATATTAATTAAAAAAAATAGTTAATTAAAAAAATAGTTACTACAAAAATGTTTATTTCATTTATGAAATAAAATAAAATTCTGATGGTATATTTTATTGCCCTCCAAAATTGTCCAACTCATCAGCCACATCATCTAGTTTATTTTTAAATTATATTTTTTTATAAATTAAATGCCAACTCATTCAGTCAACCATTGTCTAACCTGTTATAGCAGATCATAGGACCAATTCTCAACTTTTGAAACTTACAGGACTAAAATTCTGATTTAGAAACATGATGGACTAAAACTCTCAACTAGCAAACTTACAGGACTAAAAATCTTATTTTGCCTTGCTCAAATTTAATAGGAAATAAAAATTAATAACTAAAATAGTTCAACTTAACTTTTGTACAAAATTAACAAATTTTGAAGAAATTTGTAGTGATATCCTTATGTAACTCTATCTCTGAATTAACGAAAAATATTTTTTCGGCCAAACGAAAATTAAAAATAAGTTGGCTACCTTACAACCTCTTTGGCTCGAGATGTTCCGCTGATGTTAAAAATTCTGAAATATAATACCCTTTTATTTTCATTAAAAAATTGCTCGATGTTTTAAAATACGGATGCCAAAGTGGTTTAGACAAATGCAGGTTTACCTAGTGCACCTATATGTGATTGACTAGACAAATGCAAGTTTGCATAGTGCACCTATATGATTGGGTGCTAGTTCCTTCCTTAAAAAAAAAAAAAAAAAAAAGTGATGTTAGTACTTTTTAATGTCGTACATAGTATTGTTATTATTACAGTGCAAAAAAAAAATTTCTTTTTTAGAGAACAAATGCAGAATTTTTCTCTTTAAATTATCATCCATAGTTTGTATACAATTATACTAGACATGTTTTCATAGACAAAAGGAGTATTTTCCCATCAAAAGATAAATTTAGTAACAAGAGCACATGCTATTGCCTCAATTTACTTTTCCAATGCCCACTTGCCACTTAAAATCAACTGTGGATTCCCAGTCTATACTACTAACTATAGTACTTGATATAATAAAGTAAGCTAACTTTTTTTTTTTTTATCAAAGAAATCTGAAAAACAAAATGCACAAACATAATTTCAAATTGGTTAGATATAGAGTACAAGTTTTATCTTTGCAATACAAATTTCAATATATTTTTAAACATTCAAACAAAAACTCTCTAACTGAAGTTCGTAGAGTTTCAGTTTACTTTGAGTTTGTTTTTCTGATAAAATTATAAATAAAGCAAGGTTTATTGATATAGACGATCACGATTTCGATTATGAAGTAAAAATAATTATTTTCAGCCAAAATAGAAATACTTTAGGATGGAAAGCCAGATTTGTAGGCACGATCCAAGTTGTGAAGCCGAGAACAGTAATTTTTCATATGTAATTAATTATGTTATTTGGTTTTGCTGAATTTTTGCAAGAACAAGAAAAGACAGAACAATAAGTTCATTTGGAGATGTATGAATTTACAGATGAATTATAGTCATTACTTTAAAATGGAAGCTATAAGGACATCATTTTATAACGAATCCTCTTCGAAAGCGTGAACTTGATTTCAGCATGTTCCTTCCTCATGAGTTTGTTACATCTTCTATTTTGTCATGTTGATGTCGTGAGCGACGCTAACCGTAGATTTCGTTGCGTAGCATAAGTTTTATGTATCGAGCAAAAGTTTCATATATAAGTTAAGAAAGTTGGCTTGAAGTTATGAGAGACTCGATTAAAGAAGTGATGAACGAGCTAACTTGTACGCTCAAATAATTTGTTGTTATAATTTGTTATAAGAATACGTATGAGCAAACATTAAATTAATTTTAAACAAAAGGTAAATGAGTTATTTAGTCCTGTAAATTTATTAGTTGAGAGTTTTAGTCCACCACATTTCAAAATAAAAAATTTAGTCCTGTAAATTATAAAAGTTGAAATTTTTGGTCCTATAACGTAATCTAATATAACACGCAATGCTTACTTCAATGAGTTGCCATTTAATTTATAAAACCAAATTTATTAAAAATAAACTAGATGATATCATGGTTCATGAGTTTGGACAAAATAAAATATGTCATCAAATTGTTTTTTATTTGATGAAGAAAATAAACATTTTTTTAATACTTAATTTTTTAATTTATATTTCATAGTTTTCAATTGATAAAACTAGTAATTAACTGTATTTTATTATTCATTACGGGTATTTATTATTATTGGTTTGATAAGGTATTTTATGTTTGGATGCTCTATACTCTATAGTGCTTTTTTTGGTGCATTTAATTTAATAGAGTTTGAATATATTTTATTATTTCTTTAGTTAATTCGTAAATGTGCGTTTTGTTTTTTATACTAATTATGATTGTGCATGTCATTTAACGTTAAAACAAGTTTCAACAGAAAGTTTTTTTATATTTTGGTTGACTTTGATTTTTGGTTCACTTGCATTATCATCACTGAGTATAGATTTTTGTAAAAATGAAATATTTAGATAAATATAAATTTAATTACTATTTTTATCAATTAAAAACTAGTTACTAAATAAATGTTTATTTCCTTCATAAGAAAATATAATGGTATATTATTCAATAGAAACGCTAGATTTCTTGAACTTGTTTATTACAAAAATATAACGAAAATTAAATATATAAATAAATGTGTTAAGTTTCTCTTAGACATTGATTATCAAATTTCTCTCTAAAATAATTCATTAGCCACATCATCTAATTTCTTTTTGATCTATTTATTTTTATAAATTAAATATCAACTCGAATAACCAATAATTGCATTAACTAATATAGCAGATCATACTACCAAAATTCTCATTTTAAAATATAGTAGACTAAAACTACCAATTATTAAACTAACTAAAAAAATAAACTAAGTAGAAAAAGAAAAAAGAAAAAAGAAAAAAGAAAACCACACATTGCTCTAGACTTGGTTGCACGGAGCACTGGCTGCCCTGCCGGACCGCTTTCCAATCCTTTTTGTACTGTTTAGAAAAATATATGAAGATAAATAGAAAAGCAAAAATAATAACCACAACATATATTATTTACCGTTGAAACTAGGTTAAATCTTTTTTTCTATATATAAAACCCCCCCAAAAGTTTTGCAGGGTAACAAACATCCCTTTGGTTTTCTCAGCCATGGAAATAATGCTTACACCTCTCCTCTCTCTCTTGTTTCTCTCCATCCTTTTTCTCAATAATTTCTCAGGTACATACATTTTCCCAATTTTTTTTTAAATAAATAAATACTTACAAAAAATACAATGCTCATTTTAGTTGCTGAAAATCTTTTCTTGATTATTATTAATTATTTTCTTCTTTTTTTTTTGGGTTAGATGGTGCAGGGACAACAATGACACTGTACAACAAATGCAGCCACCCTGTTTGGCCCGGCATCCAGCCCGGTTCCGGCAAGCCCGTTCTCGCCAAGGGCGGTTTTAAGCTTCTGCCAAACAAGTCCTACGCCCTCCAGCTCCCCGAAGGTTGGTCCGGCCGTCTCTGGGGCCGCCACGGATGCTCCTTCGACGCCGCCGGACACGGCCGTTGCGCCACCGGAGATTGCGGCGGAGCCCTGTTCTGCAACGGCATGGGTGGGACCCCTCCGGCGACTCTTGCTGAGATAACACTAGGTAATGAGCAGGATTTCTACGATGTCAGCCTCGTTGACGGTTACAATCTCGCCATCTCCATTACACCCTTCCGCGGCTCAGGTATGTTTTTTTTTTTTTTTTTTTTTTTTCTAATATTTAAAATAATTAGAAAATTGTGGATAAAAAAAATAGTTACATAGATCTATTTTGTGTTATTATAATAAAAGAAATAGATCCATTTTGTGTTTCTCTTGCGTACTTGAATTACTTGAAAAAGTATTTGAAAGTGGTCCTTAGGCCTTGTTTGGTTGGAGAGATTAGCCAAATTTAAGTGTGAACTAAATAATTGGACGACTTCGTTTGATGTTTGGTATTCCGATAACTTGTTGGTTAACCCGCAAATATTAAGTTATCATGACTGATCTTGTCTTTTAAGGAGTTTTTTATTGGACGTTCTGAGATCTGATAAAATAATTGGGTTTTCATAATCTTGACAACCAAACGAGGCCCTTCTGATAAAATGTATAAAAGAATAATAATGTGAAACCTGAATTTGATATTCAACGCTTCTTCTCGTCACCTAGCTAACAGCAGAGCACTAAATAATTAATGTGGGTTTTGTTTCTTTGTTTAAATTTTTAAATGCTAAGTTGTGACGTAAGAGATTTCTGGTGACTGAAACTTTATCTCCGAGGATGAGGCATTAATGAATTGGTTTCTGTGTATTTATGAAACAACTTTTGTCTTGGACTATTAGGTAAGCTGTATTTGAGGAGGAATATGTGGAATTAATAAATAAGCTCATTCTGTAAAGATTTCTGTGTTCTTTACTAAAGTATTGTATAGATTCAATTAAAGAATTACGGAGAATCTAAATTTATTTTCTTTTGGTTACCTCTCTCAAAATTGAATCGAAAGTTAAGAAGATAGTATTGCTATTCTGTGATGCAAATGTGAAATAACACGCTAATTCTTGGAAGGCAATTTATTTGACTACTGCCTTTAGTAATGCCAATTAAAACCGATCATCAATCGACTAATGCCTTACACAAATCATGGTATACAAAATGTGTCGCGTTTTTTATTCGAAACTACCCACACAATCATGAGTAAAATCCTTAAAATCGGCAAAATGTAAAGATTTTAGCAGGATTTTAAGGATCTTTCTTACTCAAGATTGGATTTGTTGATTCGGACCGAGTTGTTTTTTTTTTTTCCGTAAAAAAAGCGACTATCTTAAGCTATACATGACGACGACCCACACTTAATGAATGCAGGGAAGTGCAGTTACGCAGGGTGCGTGAGCGACCTGAACATGATGTGCCCGGTCGGACTTCAGGTGCGGTCCCACGACAAGAAGAAAGTGGTGGCTTGCAAGAGTGCTTGCTTCGCGTTCAACTCACCGAGATACTGCTGCACAGGTAGCTTCGGTAACCCGCAAACATGCAAGCCTACAGCATATTCCAAGATATTCAAAACCGCATGCCCTAAGGCTTACTCTTACGCGTACGATGACCCAACCAGCATCTCCACCTGTACCGGTAGCAGCTACTTGCTCACCTTCTGCCCTCACAGTTAACTTCTAGCTCGTTTAATATGTTTTATTTTTTCTGTTTTACGATCGTAATCTTTATATATATTATTGCACTATTAGTATTAATATTATGATCCTCGCTCTTAATTACTAGAGTAGTAGTATAACGTATGAATTTTGATGGTGTTGGTAGAGCAAGTATAGTTGCATGGTATTATTGTAATGTTTGTTGTGATTTTAGCACACTGTTTAAGGTATGTTTCTTTGCACCTATTGTTTATGTACTGTATTATCTTTGCTTTCGTTTTCTGGGTCAAAGGTTCTAGGTTTTTTTTTTTCTTTTTTCTTTTTTTCCAAATGTTTTAACTTTTGATAGTAACTAGCTTTCGGGTTAATTCTATTTATGAATTATTTATTAAGTATTATATATTAAATTTTAGAACTCCTAATTTACTGATTTGACATTTGAGATAACATTTTAATATTGATTTAAAGTTTATCTATTACCACTAGGTATATCAAATTAATTATCAATTGAAAGTTTATGGTAAATAATTTATTTGTAATTGTCACGTGCCAACTTGTAATTGAATCAATTACAAAAAAAAAAACTTGTGGTTGGATATTTAGGTTATTACATTTTTTATCACCTAATTTCGGACAAGTATATTTACATCACAATAGGTGAATTATCAAAATAGATCATCATTTAATAACTTTATTGGAGTTAAAAATTTATATTTAGTTTCTATGTACAAAATGTGTAAATGGTAGTTAAAAGTTTAATACCATATTTGATAACCAATTACTCTATTAGAGTTGCTCTTAACAATATACTTAGTGAAAGAAATCAATGATACCGAATTCGTGTAAAATGATATAAAAATATAAAATCAGAGATTTATAAAAATAATTTAATGAGTGGTTATATAAAGAAATAATCAGCGCAAATTAAACAACACAAGATTTAAGTATTTTTCCACAAGGAAATAACTTGTGGATGTGCCTTTAAAGGCGAAACCTTTATTAAAACAATGTTTGAATAATTTACAAAGTGAAGTAAAGATCTTCCCCTTTATGAAGAAATAACAAGTTGATTTCTACGTACAAGAATTTCTAGAATTGACAACGGTCTATTCCTAGCAGAATTTTACAAGTACAGACTAGTAATCAATAATATTGAATAAAAACCGGCTCAGTTCTATAGTAGAAAAATACAATGAAAAACAAAGTGTTGTAGGAGATGTTCCAACAAGACCCAAAACGCTCTTCTTGCAACTCACTTCAGAATTTGGTCCATAAATGAGCTAAGGACCTCTTCTATTTATTGAAGGGTAAATTACAGTTTACATCCCTGTACTATCGAAAAGGTCCCATTCACCCCTCTGTACTATCAAAATCTACAAATACCTCTTTGCCGTTAGTACTGACTGTTGACTCCGTTTGTCAGACGCGTTGATCGACCGTTTCATAGAGCCGTTGGTTTTTTCTGACGGAAATACCCCAAAAAATCACTATATAAATGCTGCATACTCTTGCCCATTTTTCTCACCAAAAATTTCACCTTTTCAGCTCATTTTATCTCATTTTTTCTCATGTTTTCTTTTCTCCTCATTTTTTTCCTCTTTTTTTCCTCTTTTTTCTCGTTTTTTCTCCTGTTTTATTTTCTCCTCGTTTTTTTCTCATTTTTTCCTCTTTTTCTCGTTTTTTCTCATGTTTTCTTTTCTCCCTGAATTCTGCATTTTATTCTACTTCAATTTCAGTTTTTTTTCCAACTTCGTTTCCTTTATTTTGTTTTCATGCTAAAATATCTTCTAATGGTTCAAATTCTTAACAATCGTGTCTTAGCTCCGAACATTATATGTCTTATTTTTCTGGAACCACATGCCGATGTAAAAGAAATGCTTCAATTCGAACATCTTGGACTTCGAAAAATCCAGGAAGAAAATTTGCAGGATGCACAAACTGAGATGTAAGATTCTTTGTACCTTAATGATTGCAATTTTCATTTTATAAGATTGTTGTAGCTAATTATATTTATTTTTCCATATAGAAACAAAATGAATGCAATTTTCTTGAATGGATTGAGCCTGAAATATGTGAAAAGGAACTGAACATTGGGCAAGGATTCACAGGAATTTTGGAGCAAAAAAATGAGAAGATAAACACTTTTGAAGCTGAATGAGACATTGAAGCTGAACAATGAAAAACTTCATGAAATTGCTCTACATTTGAGAACAACAAACAATGATATGACGATTAAGATGCAAGACATGGAAGGAAATCTCAAAAAATTAGCAGATGATTATTTGATTTAAACGCGAGCATGGCTAGTTGATTTAATTTCGATTAAGTAATTAAGTATGTATGTTGTTTTTAATTTCGCTGGAAGCGCAAAGGTACGCAATTAATTGATTTCAATTATCGCGCATGTGTTTATGTGTTTTATTTATTTAAATCGCATAAAATTTTTGTTTTCCGCTGCGTACACGTGTCCGATCCCCAACATCACTGTCAACCAAGAAAATGTCTCCATCGTTCAGGTTGCTCACAGATGCATGACTTTCCATTTTTCTGAAAATATAATAAAAATTATTTTTGTTATATCAAGCACATTACAAAGTACACATAAAATTATTTCGAACTTATTTAGGTAATAAAAAATAAACATTATTAACCTCAAATGCAACATAAAATGTAACACTGGATCAATCTTCATTGATCCTTTTGTTGCCATTACTACTATCATCATCACCATAAAATTTGATCACATCAATTTCTTCACTTGACTTGGAAAAATCAGCAATATCCAAATGGATAAGGTCTATTTGATCAATATGTTCATTCTCGATGTTGCTAAAATCAGTAGAATTGATTTCTTTCCCTTTTTTCTCTTCCCTTGGATGCTTGATACAAATCAACAAGCTACCTTGGAGTACGCCATGCACGTGTAATTGACCTTTCACTCCACACCTGTGACAAGTCTCATTTTGATAATTATGAGAGCCAAATTTTACAACCTTGCCCTTGTCTTGTTTTCCACCATTTTTATTCCACTTCGGGTGGTATGGTGTAACTCTGACCAACTTCATGTCGACCATGACTACGACGATACCCACGACCTCGACCACGATTATAGTTGTTTGCATTCACTTTAGAGAATGAAACATTTGCATTTACTTCTTGAAATGCTTGTGATCCTGTTGGGTGGGAGTTATGATTTTTCATCAAGAGCTCGTTGTTCTGTTCAACAACAAGGAGGTAAGAAATCAATTGAGAGTATAAAACCTATTTCACGGTATGGCTGCTGCATGAGCATATTAGAGGCATGAAAAGTGGTAAATGTATTTTTTTAACATGTCTTGTTCGGTGCCATTGTCTCCACATAATCTCAATCGAGAAACAAGTTTAAACATGACGGAATTATACTCATTTACCGATTTAAATCTTATAACCGCAAGTGCTTCTATTCATATCGAGCTTTACGGAATATCACACTCTTCTGGTGATCATATATCTCTTTTAAATTGTTCTGTACAATAGATGGGTCCTTTACCCCATGATACTCGGATTTTAAGCCCTCATGGAGATGATGGCCAAAAAAATTATTTATTTCCCCTTATCTGGTTCACTTGCCTCATTGTCATCCTTAATGGTATTTCTGAGGTTCATGGCATTCAAATGGATCTAAGTATCAAGGATTTAAGTTAGATAATTTTTTCCAGAAATATCAAGTGCAATGAACTTGTTATAATTATTTCGTGCAAATTAATTATATATTTGTGTCGGATGAATCGCATATTCAGTGTTGGATACTGTTTTACTGTTTTACGAAGAGTTGCAACAGTTAACGAAACAGTAATAAAAAGACACAAATTTTAAAGTGGTTCGGATACAATTGTATCCTACATTCACGGGGACCTGCGAATGAAATTTACTAATTTTTAGTTTTACGAATACATTAATAGGACTTAATCGAAATAAAAAGACTCTCTCTTTGTCGACGCCGTTCTTGTATACTACGCTGAATTATCAATCTTCACTTTGCAGCACGTCCCTTGTTCCGCAAGGTTGAAATTCCTTCAACGCTGAGTCCCTCAGTCGGCGGATCGACCTCCTCCCGAGATCTTCTGAGTTCTCCTCCCGAAGATGCGGTCTTCTTTTCACGTGAAAGAAGCAAATCTTTGAATATATTTTTCTTCTCGAATAAGATCAAATATCAGAAGCAGCAATGTAAAGAGCAGAAAATTATTTTTCTCTCACATAAAAGGGACAACCCTACAACACGTTGATGCTCCTTTATTTATACTTCCTTAGTTGAATAGAAGAGCCCTACAAAAGATAAGAGCCCATTAGGTTAGTTTCAATCTCAGCGTAAGGAAAAAAAATTGTGTAACAAGGGAAAGTCTTTGTCAAGGAAATTCCTTGTTAACACATCACTTATGCAATTAAATAAATTAATGACAAAATTAGAGTTTAAAGCATTAAGGAAACTTCCCTAGCTTTAGACACACGTTTTTCACACACGTGCTGAAAAACCAAAATTAGAACCATCTCGGATTCTAACAGAACTCAAGCTTTGTAATATCTGCCATATCACTAAATCATAAATTAATAGTGCTTTAGATTATATGTATACTCAAAACTTCAAGTTTGGGTCTGATTTATTCAGTATATCCAAGCTTCAGGCTTCGATATTCGAAATAGACTTCGGGCTAAAAAACTTCAGGTTTTTATGATAATTTGCATAACAATAAAGCAAATAAATAATAATTTGCATAAACAATAAAGCTCGCTACTTCCCTAATGGCGAGCTGTGGTCGGCGGACGGTGGTGCTCGACCCTCTGCAACTTGGAAGAGCATAATGACAGCTCGTCCATTTCTTAGTGTTGTCTTGAGAATGCGCATCGAAGACGGTACTAGTACTTCTACTTGGGGCGACTCATGGTTGACATGGGAGGGACACTACAGAATCCTCACAAAGAGACCTGTTCAGGTGCACTTTCCGGACAGAGTGGATGAGAGTTGAACCTGGAATGTTAAGCTGATCCACAATACTTTTTGGACAGTTTGATTGTCAACGGATTATGGAAGTTCCTATCGGCAGCACACAAGTGAAGGATAGAATGATTTGGCATTTATCAAAGTCGGGAAAATTAACGGTTAGAACCTGTTACCATGCTATTATCGATGCGAATACTCAGAAGTCTGAAAATGGGCAGAATGGATATTCTCTTCAGGCATTGGGGATACTAGCGCGGAATGAATAACCACCGATTTGATCTACAATGAGTGGGAGAA